TACAATATTCTACAAATGTATTACAAACTATTCATTACACACACTATTATTATTTAAATCGTTTTCGGCTAATCACATGGTAATAAATCAAACAACTCGACCAAATGTCAACAAACGCCGGCATGTGTATTTATTTGCATAGGTCACAATAACATATGTGTATGGTATATATATATATATATATATATATATATACTGCAGTACGAGGAGCATGGTATCCCAGATAGCATAAAAACGTTATTTTAACATTTTTATATTATTATTTTTTTTATTTTATCAATAGGAAAATGTTTTTTTTTCATCAATCTTTGATCAGAAAAATGTTTTAAATATATCAATAAAACGCTATTTGGCCGCCAGAATTACATTATTAAATTATTTTAAATTTAATGACAAGTAAATAATATTTAACTATTATTAAAAAAACATACTTTTTTTGATTAAAATTTAATATAATTGTATAGACAATTTATTAATGTTTTATTAGTATCATAAAAAAAATATTATTAAAGTTATACTAATCTAATATTATTTAGATACCATCATAAAAATATTATAATTTTTCAAAAATAAAATTAGTTAAAAATAAAAGTACCAATAATTTGTAATTCCCGATTTCATTAGATATACTTAAACTTTACTAACAAATTTCATTTAATTAAATTTCGATCAATTCTAGTAACTGCTCGCTATATTATTATTTATTAGAAAAGTTATAAATACATATTCATAAAAATTGTATATTCTAATTTTCGTACCTGCACTTATCAACACTTTGTATTCATTTTGGCTTTTTGTGTACCTATATAATAACAACAATTCTATATACCAACTCATTATTAGTATTACGGTTAGAGTATAAGTAAGCATAGATATAGTTATGAAATTTTAAGGAAAAATAGAAAATAATAATAATACAAAAAGTTTAAACTTTATTCTGTTTTATTTACTGAACTAATTAATATGAATTAAAAAAATATGTAGAGTAAAATATATATTTATATTATTTGATCGCCAGCTGCTACTGCATGGCTGTGTCTGTTGGTTTTGCTTTTTTCCCGAAACTTTGCACCAGCAATAAAAATTTTTATTGATTGTTCTACGTCTATTGTATTGTAATTTTTAAATTTTCCAATACTTTTAATTGATTCTGAAACAAATTAAATAAACATATTTTTTAAGAGAAAATTATAACTACATTTTATATCTGTTTTAAAATCTCACTATGCAAAATATTAAACTAGTCAATGTTTAGTAAAAAATTAAATTTTAAACTAACCACTGACAATTAAAAGAAATTTAATTTTAATAGAGTTAATTTATATAGCTACTATAATAGTTAATTTTAGCTTATCACCATCATTTTTTTGAACAGTTGAATTTTAGATTATGCTTTTTATCAGTAAGAAGTAATGGTGACTGTCAAGTGGTTCTTATCAGTCAACATAAACACTTTATTTTTATACTTTTGTACAATTTATGAACATTTGGTAAAACAATATTAAGTTAAAGTTTCGGAACTAAGACTAACATATCATTGGGGTAAACAACTGTAGGACATCTGTGTACTGGACTCAGATGTAAATTCATTGGAGAAGAAATATTAATTGTAAAAATGTTTTATTGTACCTATTATTAAAATAAGAATTAACATTTTTGTTCTTGTGTAATTACACAATTTTGTTTAACAATATTTACAATTAACATACCTATCTGTGGGATGTAAGACTTTTTTTTGGTTCAGAATAATTATTCTAAGCACAGAACCTTAGCATAGTAATAGTTTTATTAGTTGTGAATAATATTATATATTAATAATTAGTGAATTGCAAATTGGATTTAGTAAAACAAAAATTTGAGACAACCTATTTCTTTAATTTAAACAGTCACAGAATTCATCAATATACATATTCATAATACAAAATATACTATCAACTTAAAATTTGTTCAATTTTATAAGATTAAGTAATTGTGTTTATACCTAATTAGGGCCATGTTTACACTTATAGGTTGAACTAAATAACAATTTACGAATCAATATATTCATTTAACAAACCATTATAATATGTTTATACCTACTCAATTAAAATTATAATTTCATAAATTTACTTAATTTTTTTTTAAACAAATATTCTTATGGTAATAGTTTGTTATGTAAAAGGTAGATTGTAAGACAGCTCAAATTACTATTTTTTATAATAAAATTGTTTGGAAATAGGTGATATAATCAATGAAAATCTTAAAAATCTTAGGAAATCTGTAATCTATTACACCTAAATTCGACTAGGGGTTTACTTTACAATAATAACAAACATACATACCAAAAATCACTGAACAAATGGCTAAAGTTGAAAATACTTTTTTTTGTTTTTGCCCTTTGTAACTATACTTTTGTAAAAATGAATCATCGAATAAATATCGTAATATAGCACGAGTAGTACTTTGAATAGTACTCCTTACTAAACGCGATAACTCACACACCTAAAGAAAGCATTTTATTAATTTTAAAATATAATTATAGTTATAATAATGATACATTTTATAACTTTAAAACTTACTACTTTTTTCTTAAAATTATAATCTAAAAGATTTTTTTCAAATGTTGATAGACTTTCTTCATTTACTATTGGTAAAACAGACATCATAACTTCAAATGTATTCATGGAATCAAAAGAATTGTTGTCATCAGTATGTACATGCACACGGTTATTACTTATCATAAATAAATTTGTCTCCAATTTTTCGATTTTTTCATTCATTGATTTTATTTCATACCATGTGTTTAAGGTTGTACGATTAATTTTGTTTACTTTGTCTGGAAAAAATAAAATTTTTTTTACACATTTTTTAATTATAGTTTCTATTTATTCAACATTATTGGTACTTACCAATTAATGAATCACTTGTGAAAGATTGCGAACCAGCTGGTGTCAATGACAGTGGAATATACGGTTCAGTTATTTCTGTTGTCGTTGTATCATTGACATTTGTCACTTTAAAAGGTGAAGCAGTCGTTCTAATAATGTTATTAACTGTGCCTTCAACATTGTGACTATCATCGGTATTATCTTTAAAAATAAAAGATGCAAATAAATCACAAGTTCACAGAAAACATTTTTTTATATAAAGCTAGGTATGCAGTATATAATAAATTTAAATTAAATTAAATTTTACCAGCAACTACTACTATATTGTCTATAGAGGCAGATTGAAACTCAATAAGTTCTGATGTTATATTAAAGTTTGTTTGACTATTATTTGATTGATACTTATTAATAAGTGGTGGTGATTCATCAAAATTAAGTTTTCTCTTGGATGATACACATAAACTTATCTTTTCGATTCCTTTATCATATTCTACATCATCTAAAACATTATATTTAATTATTGTTGTATGATAAAAAATAAAAAATAAATTAGCACAATTTTGTTTGTATATAAGAATATGATTCAACTATTTTAAAGTATTACTTATTTTTACATATTATACTATTTAAAAATCAATGACTACATGTCTCTATTTTTACATTAATATTTTATAACAATAAATATAATATATTACAAAGTATTTTTACCTGTAGGTTTATTTGGCATATTATAATGTACTTCCCCGTTATCAGTATCATCAGATGACGAATCTAAAAACAAAATAATTTTAATGCTAGCCAGTGTATCACAATATACAATTACATGAGCAATGATATGAAAATAATGTTTTTAATAAAATCAAAACATTAAAATTTGCAATACATTATTATGTGGAATACTGATACTCACTAGTGGAGTCCCACAGGCAAGCATCTTTTTTATTTGAAATAAATGTCTTAAATTTTCTTTGTTTTTTCACACTTTCATCAACATTGTCAGATAAGTTTGATGTATTTTCTCCTCTTTTTGCTCTATTTCTAGCATCAAGATAATTGTCTAGAAAAAATTTTAAATTGTATCTATAATAATATCTATAAAATAGGGATAGTCTGTGTATAATTAAATTATTATTTATATTATTATTATGTTTCATATACTAATTACACTTTAATTTTTGCTATTTCAAATTATTATCCACAAAGTTCTTACCAACATCTTTCCCAATTTTACGAGCTCTTAAAAAATAAAAATCTGTTTTGTTTGGAAAAACTTGTTTTTCAATAAACTTTTTTGGATTTTTTTTTGGCCACGCGCATGTATTTTTACGATGCCAAATTGATGGAACTGCTTCAATAGAGTTATCATTTTCAAAAATAATTACTGACCACATCATGAAATTGTACCTATTATAAGAATGAATAGGTGATTAAGTTTATACTCAATATTACATTATTATATAATATATATTACAATTTATTATGTCCATACTATTTCTTTATTGTCCACTTAATATCTGAATGTAACCCACCTTAATGTGTTTTCCATTATACTTAAATATCATATTAAAGATATAATTTAAGGTTTATTCATGTATGGTATAGTTATCTAAAACAATTTTAGTAGTCTTGTTCATTTGAACGAGATTGGGGAAATAGATTGTTTGGATTAATTAGCCCGTGTTAGATTAACAAGACCCTAATGTATAATACCTAACTGTAAACAGAAATATATAGAATATATTTTTTTTCTATTTTTAGTTTTATCATAAAATGGGTTATCTCTTTTAATTCATTCATTCAAGACTTCTAAACAGTACGCACTTATTCAAATTAAAGTAAGATAGAATAAATTATTCAGAAACAAATAATGGCTTTATTAATATCTAAATATGTATTTAACAAAGAATAATAAGCAAATAAAATGACAAAAAAAAAAAAAAATGCAGGGTACTGTTATATAATTTTATATAATTAAATATAATTAATAACTGGTCTTTATAGTGTATTGTATACATTTATATAATATATAATAATAATCATACAATTCAAATTACATTTTAGTGTTTAAAATGTATAGTTTAAAAGGGTAAAAGGGTATCTAGATTTTACAGTGTTAAGAACTACCTGCACCTATTATTTAGTACAAGAATGTAATAATGGAAAAACAATTAGATTTTCACCAGAGGGGAAAACACAAACTTTTTTTTTAATATCTTTAATATTAAATGAAATTAATTTATCATTTAATTTATTAACCACATAAATATTTAAATATGTTGACTCAATTGGTTTTTTAAATAAGGGGAAAGGATTTATAAATTGTTTACATATTATAATAGCTTCATTTTCATTGCCAGCTTGAATAATGTTAAAAACTTTAACTATATTGTTATCTTTGGTTAAAACATAAGAATCTGCTTCGATGTGCGTTTTAAGTGTAAACCTATTGCATTTATAAGTGGTGAATTGTGAATATATAGCTGCACTATCTAACAATGGACCTTTATTATGGAGCCCGGAAAAATAAAAATCTTTTTTCTCTGTATTACAAGGAATTGAAGCCATTTCATTATACCTATTAATAATTTGTTCCAGTGGCTTATCTGGTTTTCTCAACATTCTTTTTAAAGTACCCATATAGTTTTCAAATGGAAAGGTTGAACATTGATCTAGTGGACCAAAATTAATGTAATCATCACATATATGTGTTAAGCCATGTATATTATGTGAAATTAAATAACTACCATATAAAATTTGAAAGTTTTCAACAAAAGATTCTAATAATTTACGAGCATAATTTAAATATTCACTGAAATCTGGGCTTAATAATATGATCATAGATATGCTTAAATTGAGAAAATGTTTCCAATGAGCATCAGATATAACTGGTTTTGTAACTATAGCACCTACATACAACAAAAAAGTACGGAATTCTGTAGCCTTCCACCGATTAACTTGATCAAAACCTCTAGTTTTACGGGCAATTTCACAAGGAATATTTATTTTTAAACGGTTCATTGAAATTGACATTTCATTTATCTTCCATGAAGGATAACGCACTTTAATTGGGCCTTTGATCCATAAATTAATTAGTTTACGGACTGTACCTAGACAAACTAAATGGAGATAATCCATAGAAAACCCATAAACAACATCAAAGTTAGGTAATGTAGCAATTATTGAATTATTTTTTATATGATGATCCTCATTTAAGCGTGTTATATAATTTTGATGAGTGCGTTTAGGGGGACATCTTTCTGGTTTTAAGTATGGAAAACAAACTCTATTTTGAATGTATTCTCCTTCATGTTCACACCTGGAGCATGAAGAAAACCCAGAATGTCCTTTAGTCCTTAAAACATAAGATTTTGCAGGGGCATCACAACATAATACACTAACATGGAAATCGTACATTTTGCCGTTTATTCTAACACCATTTTGCATTAATAATTTAGCTTCTTCAATAAAATCTAAAATAAATTTGTTGCTATCTGATGGTTTATCTTTTCCATGATAGATTCCTATCGGAAAAACATGACCATTTGGACGAATATAGGCAAGAATTGGCCAAAATTGGTCAGAACTCGATTTGTATAAAGGTAAACCGTCAATCCCTACAGCAATTTCAATAACAGATACATTTCTAACATTATCAACCATATTTAATTTTATACCGTTTTCAATACCAAAATGGTAGTAAGAACCTGGTTCTATAGTTTTTAATTTAGAAATACCCAAATGTTTATTATTATTTTGCATCAAAGTTCTAGAGTCAAGAGGAAAGGAATCAAAACATTTATGTCTTTTTAAAATCCTCAATAACTTATTTAGGGCAATTTGAGGTATATTAAATTCTATGGACCATTTTCTAATTAAACATTTAATATCATCAGATGGCGTCTGAGATGGGTCTGAGGGTTCAAAATCTATATTTTCATCAATTAAATTAGAGTTATTATGTTTTTCAGAACGGTGTATGTTTAAGTTATTTGGTATGATTTGACTATCATTTAAATCATGACGAATATGACTAGCATTTAATTGATTACTGGAATTTTGGGTTGGTTGGTTGGATGGTAAAAAAAATATATTGTCTAAATTAGAATTCAAATGTGAAGTGGTAGTGACATTTTCCGATGTGCTAGATGTTGACAAAACAGGGTCAACCAAATTTATTGGAACATTATTTTTTAATTCTTCTGTTACCCGCCTTCTCTTGGATCGAACACTCAAATTAAAATTTTTTTGACAAAATGGCATGATTAAATAAGAGCCGTAGACTGAAAAAACCAACATTTTTAGAATCAAAACTATTTAATGTTTTAGAATTCTAAATATCCATAGGGAACAGTTACAGAATTAATTTATGTTTTTACCATAGGTATTTTTGTCATTATTCATTAGCTGAAAATAATAAAAAAAAGTCTAATAAAAATATCAGTTAGGTAGGTATTAAATTGTGGGTAATTATACAAGGTAGGTACCTAATTTATTATTAAAATAAATAATAATAAAAAATAAATAAGCCAAAATTAAAGACAATACCTACCTAAGTGATATTAGTAATTGCCAATTGGAACTATTTAATTATAAGACAATAATACAGTATAGGTATCTAGCATGTTGGAGGGGATGCCAATATTTTACATATTATGGTACTCATTAACTTGATAAACATTCGATTTTAACAACAATACATTTAAAAAACGATATTGGGCCGTAAACTAGATTTATACCTTTATTGTTTTTAATCATTTATAATATATTTAAGAAAAACATTTGATGAAAAAGGTTCGTACCTATGCCATAAAATTGAATAAATGTAACTGGTACCTACTGTACATTAGAAACACATATAAAATGGGTGTAGAAATGTAAAGCGGATACTTACAATTTATAAACTTCGGAGTTTTCAAATCGTGTTTCGAAAATAGGTGCAATAATATTATAGATCGCAACAGACTGCCAACTGACAACAGTACACACAAGATGTTGGATTATTTACCAACTATGGCACAATCGTAGACAACAACACTGATATACTAATAAATTAATAATGCCACAATGGTATAGATTCTTGATTAAATAACAAGGTGTGAAGATACCTGCAACAAAAAAAATTGAATAAATGTAAATGGTGCCTACTGTCCATTAGAAACATAAAGGTAGTAGAAATGTAAAGCGGATACTTACAATTTATAAGCTTCTGAGTTTTAAAATCGTGTTTCGAAAATATGTACAATATTAGACTTGGAACAAATGCAGTTTAGCTCCCAAGCGATTTTTTGGAATTTTTTTTTTTCAAAATGTGTGTTTTCGCATGCCTAATTTGATGGTACTTTCAAAAAAGGCCGGTCGAACTTATTTTGGAAGTTATGGTAAAAAAACTTCAAAATGCTCAATTTTTTCAAAAATCGTGTTTTCGAATTTAAGATACCAAAAATTTAAGTTTTTAGAATTTTTTTTTTAGAAATGTTTGTATTTATATGCTCAACATTTTGTTGGAATCAGAATTTGCCTATCGTACTTACTTTTTATGTTATTGTTAATAAACCACATAAAACTGAATTTTAAAGTTATTTCAAACATTTGCATATTTGAGAAACTCAAAATTGATTTTTTTTTACTATTTTTTTTTTCATTCGATGAGTAATAACATAAATAAGTTTTTGGTGAAATCAGAACCAACTTATATTTTTTGGTTTGGGAGAAATTTGTTTACAAGTGGAGCTCCGCTAGTGTTTTCGGCGCAGAGCCCGCGTCGCCGAGCCAAAATTACGTACGGTCAACAAAGGCGACCCGAGGTACTTTTCCTATGTCAAATACCAGTTTAAAATTGCATTGAACGTGTTAAAAATAATAAACAATAACAAATCAAAATGTACAGATTTAGATAATGTAGGTATATTATACTATATCAGTATCGTCGTCATCAGAAACGTCGACCCCATCGTTGTTATATTTATTTTGATCGTATAAATTACCGGCTAAACGGAAAAATTCAATAGTAGGGTCTAGACTCTAGATTTAATATACGGCATTTTTTTAAAAACATAAATTTGGCCATGTAGCCGCCATAGAAATGTTTTTTCCTAGAGTATTGAGACAGCGAAGCTTTTGCATGTCTCCACATTTTTTAAGAGGCCAAAAGTAATACAAAAAAAAAAAAAAAAAACCCCCCGATGGGGGGGGGGGGGAGGCATGGGTAAATTAATAGACCGATTACAATGTCAAACTGTTGGGAACTGAAAAACTGCATTTTCAAATAATGAAGTTTTAGAACTTACTTTTTTTCGACTTGAATTTGTGGAATATTCTCGACATGTCCATACATATCCGTCCAGACAATTTGCTCTCAAACATAATTTAAGATAATGCCCGTGATCACATTTTAGTGTATTATTTTTGGCAATTAGTGTCCAAGACTGCAATTTTTCAAGCACTGCTATAGAAACATCCCCTTGACGTTTTCGCTCAAAAAGCTCGTAAATATCAATAAAATTGAGAGGCATGTTTATAACAGTTATTAGGTAGGTAACAGGTATAGTACACAAGACACAAGTTCGACGCAAGTTCTCAACTACAACAACGACTGCGAAGTAACTCGATAATATATAGGTACCTATTATAAGTAATCTTTAATCGTGGTCTTCTTTTTTTAGTATTATTATTATTAGTTACAATCATGAAACTATTATAGCTCAACTTAATCATCATTACAGTAATAGGATATTATACCTAAATAATATAAACATTAATTAAAACTGATATATTTAGTCAGTTAGAATCTGAAAATGGATCTGATTATTATAATGAGGATATAGGTATTGGACGAAAGTAATTATGGAGAGATAGTGCCTTTGACGACGAGTGTATTTAGAATTGAAGAAAGAAATGTGATTAGTAGACTGATTAATGAATTTAGATAGCGCCGCATACTATAATTAAATGAAATCGTACAATTTCTGCAATGTTTGTGTAATAATGATTAAATTATATTACCAATGTGGCGGTACTTTACTTAGCTATAGGTACTGCACACACACGAACACATGATGAATCGTTGGATGTTCGATGGAAGTTTATATGTTTGTCATTGTGGATTACCTGTTTCTATACGTGACAAGCCAAATTCTTTTTTGGAAAATAGTACAACACAATTTGTTGTATGCCAAAAAAATTACACGGACCCCTCAAGATGTCGGTACTTTAAATACATGGCAGAAGATTACCACTTATGTAACTGTCATACACAGGCGTCATTGCGTGTCGCCAAATCAGGTATACATATAGGTAAACCATATTATACGTGTGCAAAATCATATTCTGACCCGAATAGATGCAGGTATTTTATGTTGTATCAAATAGAATATTGAATATATTATATTTATGAATAAAATACATTTTACCTGTAAATTTTGATTTTTTGTTGCTTATTATTTTAATCTATCTTCCGAACCAAAAAATAAAAGTTAGTTCTGATTTCACCAAAAACTTATTTATGTTATTACTCATCGAATGAAAAAAAAATAGTAAAAAAAAATCAATTTTGAGTTTCTCAAATATGCAAATGTTTGAAATAACTTTAAAATTCAGTTTTATGTGGTTTATTAACAATAACATAAAAAGTAAGTACGATAGGCAAATTCTGATTCCACCAAAATGTTGAGCATATAAATACAAACATTTCTAAAAAAAAAAAATTCTAAAAACTTAAATTTTTGGTATTTTAAATTCAAAAACACGATTTTTGAAAAAATTGAGCATTTTGAAGTTTTTTTACCATAACTTCCAAAATAAGTTCGACCGGCCTTTTTTGAAAGTACCATCAAATTAGGCATGCGAAAACACACATTTTGAAAAAAAAAAATTCCAAAAAATCGCTTGGGAGCTAAACTGCATTTATGCCTTAGACTTCAACAGACTGCCAAGTGCCAACAGTACACACAGGATGTTGGATTATTAACCACCCTATTAACCAACTATGGCACAATCGTAGACAACAATACACTGATATACTAGTAAATTATTAATGCCACAATGAATCTATACAGATTCTTGATTAAATACCAATAGGTGTGAAGATCCCTGCAACAAAAAAAATTTAATAAATGTAAATGGTGCCTACTGTCCATTAGAAACATAAAGGTAGTAGAAATGTAAAGTGGATACTTACAATTTATAAACTTCCGAGTTTTCAAATCGTGTTTCACAGTACAACCATAGAATACTAGTATTCACACATTTATAACACTCTTCACTCAAACTGGAGACAATATTGAATATAATATTATGACAAATCGCACACTTCACAGTCACACTATAGTATAGGTTATGTCGAAATGTCGAATAAAAATAATAATAATATACGTACCACTAATAAGTAATATGTTTATCGCGACCGCCGCGCTCCGTTAAACTTTCCCACAAAATTTTAAATCCTCAACTAAAAATAGAAAAGTGAATAAAATAAACACACTGCACTGTCTAATGATAATGATTGTTCATTCGATCGTCGCGCTCAGCACCACGTACGGACGAAGATAGAACTATTTTTTCTATCGTAGTATCGTAGTCCGTTGTCGCGAAAACAAAATAGGTACCTATAACATGTATGTGATAAATGATAATTATATAATAGGTACGCTGTATATTATATAATACGTTATACAAATATACGAATGTCAATTTCCAATGTCAGCAGCGAAAACGTTCGTTGATCACAAATAAATTATTAATATAATAAATACGCTATTATATTATATTATATTAAAAGGCGTACCTATAGTATAATATTATACAATAGTCAATCACAGTCTGTGATTCACAGAGTATATAATTAATATATCGCACAGAATATAAATATATGATAATATACTGATATACTATATAATCATAGAACATGTTCTATATGCTATTATAAATTATAATAATATATAATATTATTATATAATGTATAATATTATTAAATTATTTATTATTATATTAAGCCTAGCTGGACGCCTGCTCCTTATATTAACATCGCCGCCGGATCGAAGTCACTCCCAATAATTTAGTAACTCATTTCTCGGGCAGATACTTATCGTTCTATCACTTCTTATCCACACATTTTTATTTTTAATCACTTAATAAAAACATGCTTATATTTCTTTTAAACACTGACTGCGTAATTTAATCTCACCTTCGTCCATCCTGTCTACTCTGCACGACACTGCGACAATGCGATAGGTACCAAGTTGTTATTGTAGAAGGTAGAACTCATTGTCTCATTTTATAAACGTAAGTGAATATAGTGAGGGATCACTTATACACGCAGTATACAATAATACAATTTTTCGTCTCTTATTATATATTATATAGTTCTATATTAATATTGTATATAATAGTAATTTTCGTAATATAAAAAAAAATAGTCAATACCAACTAGTTTTACAAATCTAAATTATAATACTTATATATATTATATTAAATAATAGAATATAGGTACACAAATACATATATAACGCGCTGTACGCTCCTACAAATTGACCATCACACCTATATATATTTTGTATTGAAATAATGATTTATCAATATTCCCAACTTTTCTCTGTAGGTACTTACAACCTACATACAGACACACAGTGAAGTAGCCAGAATCCAGAGGGGGTTTGGGTTTTAAAAAAATAGTTATTGTAGCTAAATTACCTAAATATTATATTACTGTCAATAAATTATATATATATATATATGTTTATAATGCCCTGAGCCCCTGACTAATTACAATGCCCTATTTGAATGGAAAATATGGACAATTATTATACTTTAGTACTTTACATAAACACCAAAACACAGTGGGCAGTTTACAATTAAAAAGAAATAAAACAGTTCTTGTTTTCTCAATAGTTTACAATTCAATACACGCATGTACCTATACCTATATATTATATATAATTCAGGTACAATTAAAAATCATATTTTATATTATAATTATTTTTGTTTTATAATTACATAAAAATTATATGTTCAGAATAATATTTTATTATTTCAATTATTATACCATATAATTAATAAATTCAGAATATGATTTAAACATTTTATTTTTTATAGCAAAATAATCATATTTTAAGAATTGTAGTCTATTATTTCAATTATGATATCATAATATTAATAATTTCAAAATATAATTTAGGTATTTCGGTTTTGATAATATATTAAACACATTTTCAGACTAAAATATTATTATTTCTGTTATAATATCATAATATTATAATATCCAAAATATATTTTAGATAATTCGTTTTTAATAACATAATGACAATTAATTCAGATTATCAATTTATCATTTCGTTTATGATGTCATATTATTCAATTTTTTATAATATTATGTTACAAAATAATTATTTGAAATTGTATTGATATTTATTTGATAATATTATTTTTATAATGAAGATATGATAATAATTAGATATTATCATTACGAAAATGCTATCTGGGATATACGCGTGTTGTGGTATCTTAACCCAACGTGTTATAGGAGTCGAAGTAGTAGCAATACCAAATCATGATAATTGAATCCGCTGTTCAGAGAGACGCTGTTTAGATAGCTAGTCCACCGTCGTCTGATAACGATTATAGTACGATTATTGTAAGGGGTGATTTAAAAAGCGTGGCTTGTATTTGGAGTCCATTAGTGGCACAAGATAGCATAATATACAAATGCGATATACGTGAACATAGTAATAATATTATATAGAATTCGTAGGTACTGGTCAAAACATTGGTGAGTTGTAATGCGAGTCTAAAATGTCGAATGCACACTTGGTATATACAATATAATATTATATACTATACAAGGTATTATAATCTGGGCACTCAAGCAAACAAATTTTTGGTGTACGATAATTTTTTTGAAAAACGATAATTATTTAAATACGCCATTACACTACCCTGGTTTCTGGTTTCTACTACCCATTTCACTACCCTGCGTAAAGAAGTTTAACTTCAAAAATATATATTCTACGACATGAAAGAATATGCAAGTAAAACTATAAAATTCGATGAAATAGTGATAGAAATAAAGAAAATGTTTACTAAACATGTTACAGTTCTTTAGAATTTATACTTAGGAAACTGTAACTCGGGATTAATATTCAATAGTGTATACAGATAAAAGTTCCATTAAAAAAAATATTAAAATAGACATTTAAAATATAGACTTTTGACATCGTAAAATGACGTTTCAGACCACAGTGCGCTAGCTCCGCCGTCACAACAGATTTCTTTATGGACGATTATCTGGGCGGCGCACAAACGATCGACGCAGCTGTTAAATTTCGTAACGAAAAGTGGCGATAACAAACTCGTCGGGATTTAATTTAAGGAAGTGGGTGTCGAACGAATTCCGGAATTCTTAATGACGACGACGACCCGCTGTTTGTGCTAAATTTAGATGGTAGCGCCGTAAAAACGCTAGGCATGAGCTGGAATCTGTGTAACGAAACATATACATATAAGTTCGAAAAAGTAAGCAATGACAAGGTCATTATGAAACGTACAGTACTATCCGCGATCGCAACAATATTTGATCCATTGTCATTAATCGGCCCAGTCGTAGTAAAACCGAAGATTTTCATGCAACAATTATGGACAAATAAAATCGGCCGGTTACGAAAAACTATCGCACCATTATACGTCGAATGGAACACGTACTATGAAGAGTTACCTGAAATAGAACAAATATGGATACCGTGGTGCGTAATGGGAGTTAATAATGCCCTTCATATACAAATACACAGTTTCGCGGACGCGTCAATTAAAGCATACGCGGCAGTGATGTATTTACGCGTGACAGACAAGTACGGCAATCACGTCACACGCTTAATTACCGCCAAATCACGAGTAGCCCCACTTAAGGTAATTTTTTTGGCAAAATTAGAATTGTGTGCGGCAGTCTTATTTAATGCGCTTAGTTAATTAAATACTGCCCAGTTTGCGCATGAATTGTGTTCGAAGTTATTTTTGGTCAGACTCTACAATAGTTTGGCATGTATAAGTTCACCGGCGTCCAAATGGAAAACCTTCGTGGCGCACAGAGTCGGAGGAAGTATAACAGTTTTCCGCTGTAACGGAATGGGCACACGTTAAGTCTGAGGACAATCTCGTGGATGTACTTTCCAGAGGCTGTAGTCCAAAACAGTTACGTGAACATAAACTATGGTGGGAAGGCCCACAATGGCTGCAGGCAGATAAAAATTCGTGGCCAAATGTCAGAGAAAAGGCGCCGTTACCACCCGAAGAAATGCCAGAATTTAAAGGTGAAAAGCCTGTCGTGCTGACTACAAATTTCGAATACGGTTTAATCGAAAAATATTCATGTTTACAAAAATTACTTCGTATTGTATGCGTTAGAAAACGTACAATAGTAAAAATAAGCGTTTCACGGCGGAAATCAATACGGAAGAACTCGATGCCGCTAAAAATGTATTAATTCAATTGGTACATCATTTCATGATGAAATTAAATGTTTAATTGCAAAACAAAATGTTAGTAAATGAAGTAAGTTGAAATTATTGTGGCCATATATCGATAAAGACGGTATATTACGGATTGGCGGGCGTCTGAACAATATGCAATCAATCAACGCCGATAAGCGAAATCCAGTATTATTACCAGCACAGTCCAAATTAACAATATTGATATTTATGTACGAACATTATCGCCAATTACATGGGTTCTCAAGCTCTATTGGCGACAATTAGGGATCAATATTGGCCATTAAACGGCAGAAATATCGCCAGATCAGTGGTTAACAAATGCGTTATTTGTTTTAAAACTAAACCTTTTACGTTCCAACCAGTTATGGGTGACCTGCCGAAAGCATGCATACAACCCGAACGCGCATTTGCGACCATGGGTATGGATTTTGCCGGTCCCATAAAAATCTAGACTAGTGCTCGCCGTAATGCGCCGATATTAAAAGCATATACTTGTATGTGTGTTCGTGTGTTTTGCCACCAAGGCAGTACACATAGAGTTGGTGAGTGATCTAAGCACGGATTCTTTCTTAGCCGCGCTTCGAAGATTTTGGTCAAGGCGCTGGTACTGTACAACATTATGGTCCGACAATGGCAAAAACTTCGTTGGAGCCAATCGAAAGTTAAAGGAATTATGCGATTTGTTTGGTTCCAAGGAACACCAAGCGAAAGTGCAACGTTGCGTGACCGAAGTTGGAATAAATTGGAAATTCATTCCCGTATATAGACCTCATTTCGACGAAAGGGGAAAGCACCCTTAAGTCGATAAAACATCACTTAGTCAGGCAGCTAGATAGTACAGCTTTAACGTTTGAAGAACTATACACCGTATTAAATCGTATAGAAGCTTGCTTGAACTCCAGTCCTTTATCCCCGTTATCTTCTGATCCATCCGACCTAAATGTGCTCCCGCCTGGGCATTTCTTTGTTGGTGGCTCTCTGACCTGTTTACCAGATAAAGACGTGGCAAACGTGCCAACCAACCGTCTTCGTCGCTGACAATTGGTAACTCAACTGACACAGCAAATTTGGCAGCGTTGGAGTCTGGAGTATCTCGGCCAATTACAGGGACGAACCAAGTGGTCATCCAAAAATGGTCCATCGGTAAAAAAGGATTTGTTGGTGATCATAAGAGAACCTAATTTGGCACTATTTTCCATTATCATTAAGTTTTAACTAAGTTTTATCAGGGTATAAACACTCTGTGTATTGGCAAAATCGGGTGACTGTGGCCTTGAGCACGGTCTCTAAGGGGGCGTTGCATATGTTATCATTTAATTAAATTATATCAATATTATCAGTCCACAGAATAATAATACAATATATTATTTCATTAACAATAAACCACATTATAATTACATTATAGTTTTTAATTTATATTAAAACAAAATCCTTATTCATTTTACCAAAATGTAATATTGATATACTTAAAATAAGAAAAATAAATTATTATAAGCCCATTGCTTTGTATACGTTTATAAAAATTCCGTAACAAAGAGGGATACACGTTGCTAACGTTCTATTAGATTACGGATACAGTACAACTTTTATAGTCCAATACATCATACCGTAGGGATACGTAAACCCTCACAGCTGATCGAGTGTCTATTCTATATTGTGCTGTGGTTTTATACAATGTTGTTTGTAATTTGATAGTAATATTCTATACTTAGTTTGTTTTTTAATCTATATCATCTTTACTATCACATTTAAATATTTAAAAAAGTGATTTTGTCTACATTTAGCCACTTTTTTACGAGCCGTTCGCGCCAGCATCTTTTATCGTGTTATCATCATATTGTTATCAGTGCGGGATTAAAATATTATATTATTTTTAAAATTATAATTATTTTCAATAACTTCAGTTACCTACGCTTATAAAATGGAATCACGGTTGAAATGTTCCATTTGTGACAAATCTTTTGCTAAAAAATATCATTTAAATGAACATCAGCTAAAATTCATAAATACGATCCAATCCCTACCAAAAGTTTTACCTGTTCATTTTGCAATAAAAATTATTCAAGTAATAAATCATTGCTTGCACACACCCAGAAATTCCATAAGACAAATGGAAACATAATAAAAAGGGTAAATCAATCCAGAATATTCTGTCCATATGAGGATTGTCCAGAAGTATTATTGACACTTGTAAGACTGCGAATGCATTTAACTGAAAACCACGGAATTGAATCTGAATTGGAGGAAATTAAATTCAATGATGAAACAGGTAATTTTTTTTTTTTACCTTAAAGTTATTTTGTATCAAAATAAATGCTAAAGAATGTGTATTATAGAATTTCAGCAGTGGAAATCTGAAATGGAACATAAAACTCATTGTGGACATGGCGTCGAAGAACTTGGTCGTATTAAACTTGACACAGAATCAAGATTTCAAATTATAGTTAAATTGCAGTAATTGTAGTTTAGAACAAATATAATTTAAACTTACTTATATTTAACCGGTTATCATAAATTTAAAATAAAATGTTTTCATGTTTTAATTTAATTATTGATTTATTACTCTATTGTCTTAGAAAAACTTGCAATTGAAGCGTTTTTTTTATTACTTTGTGAAACTGATTTTTTGATGTATTTTTATTTGTTTAGCAAAGTTGAAGGAAGGAGTTAGCTTTGATCATATACTGGACTCAATTCGTGATACTGCGTCTACTGACTCTATTCAAAGAACTCTGCTTTTGGACCGACAAGATTTAAAGAACATTACCCGGGATTTTAACATTGACTATGCCACAAACAAGCATAATAATGATGCAATCAGTGTACAATTATGGGTCAAAGATATGCAAAAACTTGAAACAGAATGTCCAGTTATTTATTATAAAGGTCAAGATCAAGATGATATTTACTTGAATAAAGCAGACTTTGCTTTGATTATAATGACTAAATTTCAACAACGTCAACTGAAAAAATTTGGAACTGGAAAAATATGCATTGATGGTACTCATGGTACAAAAGGTTATGACATACAATTATACACAATCATGACTGTTGATGAATTCGGAAGTGGATGTCCCGTTGCTTATTGTTTTTCAAATCGAATGGATGAACCTATTTTTTAATTATTTTTTAATAAGATAAAAGAAAAGGTATTTGTGATTGAAACATATGTTTTCATGTCGGATAATGCACCTGCATTTTATAATGCGTTGGCAGAAGTTATGAGTCCTGTACCTAATAAACTCTTGTGTACATAGACAAGAATTGGAGGCAAAATTTAAATAAAATCAGTGGTAAACAGGAAAAAAGAGCTTTTGTGTACAAATCATTAAGGGTTTTACTTCAACTAACATCTGTGGAACAGTTTCAAAGCTGCCTTCAAAAATTTATAAAAGATGTATCAGAAGATAGTAGTTTTATAACTAATATAAGTTTAACTAATTTAACACAAAAATAGGATTTTGTGAATATTTTCAACGAATTTATGCCAACCAACCAGAAGATTGGGCTTACTGCTATAGTTTAAGACTTGGAATCAATACTTATATGTATTTGGAGTCATTCCACAAAATCCTTAAGCACATATATTTAGAGGGAAAAAAGTAAGACGCCTCGATAAATCTATAAATGCTCTAATGAAATTAACTCGAGACAGTTACTTTAAACAGCTAACTAAAGTATCAAAAAATGCTTCAACAGAAAAAGTAAAAAAAAATACAATTAAGTCACAAATCTAGCCATGAAATAAAAGTAGAACAAATTCATATTCTTGATAAAAACACATGGATAATATCGTCATTAACCGATCCATACCAGCAGTATCATATTATTAAGTGTGAGGAAATTTGCATAAGCCATGTCTAAGATGTAAACAGTGCAACATTTGCATTCACACTTTCAATTGCTCTTGTACTGACAATATAATAAAAATTAATATTTGCAAACACATTCATGCGTGCGCACTTGAATTCTATAAAGGTAATGCAAATGACCATGTCCAGTTAGTGGATATTGAAGAACAACTGAAGTTATTAGAAATAGAGCTAACACCTTCCCATCATACAATTGTTAATAATTCAAATATTGTTACTAAAACTGAATTAGTTTTGGGGCTATCCACTACCACAGTGATTTCAGATGAAAATGCCAAGATCGTGGAAAAAAAGTTGGATGAAATATTAAACATTTTAAATATAATAATGACAATCCTCATATGGACAGAATATTCTGGATTGATTCACCCTTTTTATTATGTATCCATTTGTATTATGGACTTTCTGGGTGTGTGCAAGCAATGATTTATAACTTGAATAATTTTTATTGCAAAATGAACAGGTAAAACTTTTGGTAGGGATTGGATCGTATTTATGAATTTTTCGCTGATGTTCATTTAAATGATATTTTTTAGCAAAAGATTTGTCACAAATGGAACATTTCAACCGTGATTCCATTTTATAAGCGTAGGTAACTGAAGTTATTGAAAATAATTATAATTTTAAATATAATATAATATAATATTTTAATCCCGCACTGATAACAATATGATGATAACACGATAAAAAGATGCTGGCGCGAACGGCTCGTCTTGTTTTTAGATGTTGATAGACATATGCCATTTGTACATGAATTAAAACGTTGTTAAAATGTGTTCTTTAAATATTATAAATATATGGTTTTAACCTATATTGTGGAAACTTGTATTTTAGTTGATCTTGGAAATATGTTATTAGTACATTTATACATTAGATTGCACACATATGTTTTTTTCTATATTATAAAAATATATTTTTGTCTATATTTTTGCCATTTGTTTTTGAATGTATGTAGTATTGCATATATTGAAATGTTGTAAAAATATGTTAGGTTAAGTTTACAATGAATTGTGTGTTTTGTTCATGTACAAGGGAATGGCCGGGAAAAACGAAAAAAAAAATGGATACGTAAAAACGGGACATTTCACGCAAAATCGGTTTTGGGGTAATTCTAAAAAAAAATGACAAATATATTATATAGGTGGCAGTCGCCGATACATGAACAATTCACCGACCATTTATATATTATATTGGCATTTTCTATACAACATCAAATTGTCAAAATAGTTGAGCTCTTTTTCAGAAGAAAATATCGAGGTATTCATCGTTTAGTATGTGACCTACCGGTAGGCGTGACTCACAGCATCGGGTATTCGTTTAGTATTTTTAGTTAAAATACAAATCATAAAACTATGTCATTTAATTATTATTAATTAATTAGTAAATAATAATACAAATATAAAATGATACAGGATTACATTTAATAATTTCAAAATCATCAGTGAAACAAAATATCTAGGTATTAGTAAAAAAAATCTATTACAGCAATATGTCAAAATTATTAAAAAATTTTATAATTATTTTATTTAAAAAAAATTCTTTTGTATGGTTATACACTTTTTGTATCACTTATTTTTTAAAAATATGTATTTATCTTACCTGTTAATAAATAGCTAGGTAGGTACCCGTATATTTTCTGTACTTTATATAGAATATAGATGATCGTCTAAGAAGGTCACTTACTAATACGAATAGTAATACTAATATTACAAATACCAATTTTGACTAGCCATATTACTATATATTATTTTTTTTTAGTTATTGTCGATAAAAATTTAGTTTACGTTCGGTCAAAATACTTGGATATTGAATACAAGGTTCCTCGCATAAGTTATTGTTGTAAATAGAAATAAAAAAAACTTAATGTAAATTCACAAAGAATTAATGTTGAAGAGGTGAGATTCATTTATGTCGACCATGCACTAAATTCCACCAAGAAATATACATTTTTTTTTATAGTTATTTTAATTTGAAATTAGGACGAAATTATAGATATTTAAAGAATTTAACGATTTTAGTTATTTTGTACTTGAAACTTTTAAAATATATAACATACCTAAATTATATAGTATATACACACAATGACATTTTAAAATGCAACTTTCTCGGAAAAACTTAATTTAACCTTCGTACTGTAGAACTAGTACTAAAGCCTTCGTAAAAAAAAGTTACGTTTATCGTGATTTTTAAATAAAAAAAAGGTGGGTAAGTGGATGTCGCTCTGCTGTACAGTAGGTTACAAGTGGGTCACTGTATAATGGATGCTATT